TTGTAATCATTTATTGATAAAATCACAACGGTAAACACAACTTTGCACGCCGTGTACAATATGACAGTAAGAATCTATCCGCAGCAAACTTTTTACATATTTTTTAACAGAGCGATCATTTTCTCGTAAATCGGTGGAATAAGAATTTAGAACCTGAGAAAACGTAAGACCCTTCATACGCTGTTTTAGAAAATACACGCAATGATGCCCGCAGGCGTCCGACCTATGGTCTTGAACTTGTCTAGCGTTACACAAAACTCGTCGTGAATTATTTTTTAGAAAAAGCATGATGTAACTGGGGAAAAATTCAGAGTCCGGCGGAAACCCGTAGGAATCAAAAAACTCTGCATTTCCATCTGACAGTATTAAAACAGCCAACCAATGCTGTCCAGGCAGGGTGTGAGGATGCGTGTTGATGACGCAACAGGACGGAGGTGTGTGGTTTAACACCCGAGGCAGTTGATCGCAGGGGAATACGCCTCTGAAACCGAGGGTGCATCGCATGGCTTTAGTGATCTGTCTGGTGTCCATTTTTTTTCAAAAATAGTCCATAAGCACTTCACGTTTGTGATTAATTTCTAACACGTTGTCAAAAACCGCAAACACGATGATGTTTATGGTGTTGGGCAAAGGCGCTCGAAACCGGAGGTCCAGTCTGACGTGCCCCGACTGTATTAAGGAAACGTGTTCGCCCGAGCTTTCGTCGGGGGTCAAGTTGAACGCGAATAAACAGTAGCCCTGAGAAAAATCTTCACGAGAGATGGCCAAAGGCTGGTCCCTCAACCCTCTGTCCGTAGCCTCGACCAGGCTGAAGTATTCTCGCAGGCAGCGCTGCCTGGGAAAAGGGGGTCGAAAAGGCGTGGACGGGTAGGACACACCGTCTACGCTTAGATTTAAAGATTCCACGTCGTAATGATGAAAATTAAAAGGATTTCGCGCGTAAGATCCGCTGAAAGCTTCGTTATGAACAAAACCTATAGCGATGAATTTTGGCACTTGGCCCAAAAATAGATTGTCCTGGTTTGACACGCGACCCCCGCCGGCACGCTTAACACTTTCACGTTAACTCGTTCTAATGGGTACCTCGCGTTAGACTAAAGCAAAGCTGACGCGTGCTCCAGTTTCACACTGGGTGACACGTGTATTCTTTTCACGTACAAAAGGGCCGTTAAAATGTGAAGTTTATAGCCCGGGTTCGGATCCGATGACATTAAAACAAACTCGTTTTTATTACGAGCTAACTTGATTCTCACGTCGACGGAATTTAAAAGAAGCTTTTCCTGAAATGCAAAGTCGTTATGCAAATGTCCCATTAATTCGAACGTTCGGCTCCTTTCGCAATAAGCGCTTCGCCACGTTAACTCCTCATTGTCTCTGTTCGGGTCAGCTTCGTCCATGCGCCCTGCCGTGTCTTTGCGAAACAGCCCCGCTGCGAATTGCGAATTCAGAGTAGGTTCGGAATAGTTAAGTAAACACTCCAGAACGGCCCTGTAGGTGTACGTGGAACCGCTTTGAGAAATGAGCTTATCGCCGAGGGACAGGTCGACTTGGCTAAAAAGAGTGGCCGCGGGGTAATTGATCAAACCTACGGCCGCGCCGGCCGCCAGATCGGTTCCGTCCGCGTTGGTAACTTTGCACGTGAGGTACAAAAGCAAACGGTTCAGATCGACGTAGGTGTCCCCCGACCCCACTATAAAAAATTCCAGGGGGCCGTTTTCGGTGATGGCCGTGATTGGTGGCGTTTCTACGTATTTGTAGGATTCTATACTGTGTTGCGTCATAGGGATCGTAATTAGGTCCAGCTCGGACTTCATGCATTCCGCCGAGGCGCTGTGTATAAGAGACATCTTTTAAAATATGTCGGGACCCGCACCGGTTTTCCGCTCGCTCTTTTTTTTCTTCCTGTTCCTTAAACGAGAGGCGCGGACGAGCGCACCGCCAGCTTCCTGTTCAGACTGAGACCTTTTGAAAAAACGTTTTTATTTTTAAAAGGTACGGAACCGCGACGCCCCGGCGGGCGCATGCGTCGATTCGCGCGGCTCAAAACCACCAGGCCTTCCCCCTCCTGCCGCCTTTCCGACGCGTTTCCCAGTAATTTCCCCGCCGCTGCGGAAACCACGTCTTTCGCGATATTTTTAGCAGCGGTCTTGAGGTGCGGTCTGACCAAGTTGAAGCCCGATTTTAGCAGAGGCACCGCCAATCTAAACAAACCCCGAAAAACGTTGCCGATCCCTCTTCCGTACTGCACGGGCGCTCCGCTGAAACCTTCTAAACCGGACCCCGCCTGTCGCGTATAGTAGAGGACGTAGGGGTTAGGGTCGGCGTGATAAGCAGACTTTTTTTATCGGATCGGTCTAAAATGTAGCTTCACGATCACTTTTCCAAATTCGAATTTGACGTTTCGGTTTTGATCCGTCTTTAACTCTATTAAAATTTCATCAAACACGTGTTTGCTGACCGGGTTGTAGTGCACCTTGTCAAAGTTTAGCCTGACGAAATCCAGATGCGCTTTGGGTATTTGAACGGTTCGCAAAAGAGGTGCTAAGGTATCGGCTACAATCTGATGCGAAGAAATACCCGAATAAAGAAACAAATAAAACGTTTCGCCTTTAATATGGGCAGGGAATTTAGTTTCGGTCGGGTCAGTCCACTTCTGTTCCTCGAAGCCCAGAATGTGCGCCAACTGTCCGTGCGTTCGAATCCGAATAGGCCATCTGTTCAGCGAGGTCAGTCGTATAATCTCCTCCGGTGTGACCCCTAATTTTACCCGTCTCGTGACCTTATCCAAATATAATTCGACGTGGGTTTTGGTGGTTCTAAAATATTTGTTCATTTCGGTCAAAATGTCAGCGATGTAAGTATAATAACCGCGTTTTACTTTAAAAGCCACCTGTTTACTGAGATCCGGCCCTTCGCACACCCAAAAGTCCGTTTCCTGTCGCCCGCCGTCCGCCAGCGTGTACCAACTCTGGGGAAATGAAATTTCTGCTAAGCCGACCTCCCAACCGCCCCTGAGGTGAACGGTTTTGGCTAACTTCACCCTGTAGCTGGATATATCGTTTTGAGGGTATAATCTGTCGCTAGCGTTACTCGGCAGAGTGATGAAAAAATCTCTGGTTTCTTCCATGGTGGGGGGGTCCGCGCTTCCGAATAGGGGCTCGCGCCGCCCTCTCACGGGGTTTTTATCGAGCGTCCTGGATAGAATTTTCGTTTACCCAGGAGTCAAATTTTTTATCCCAACCTTTCCATCTCACCTTAACGAGAACCTCGGATTTAGTTTTTTTCCTAGCCAGTATTTTTTCTACACGATAGACTTTATTTTCAGGTACAATCATTTTCTGCATTTCTTCTTCATAAAAAGAACCTTCTATTATTTCATTATCGAGGTCTTTTAGTTTATACATCGGCGGGTCTCGTTTAACAATTTTATCCACAAAAAAATATTCATCCGTGAAAGACGTTCGTAACCTTTCGCGAAGACCCTGCGCTCTTTCGAAATCCGAACCGCGTCACCTATTTTAAACTTGGGTCGGGGTAATTCCCCTCTCATTCTTTTCCGTACAGATGATGAAACACCTGTATCTGATTGCCCTCGTTCACTTCTTCGGGACGCATTTTAATAGATCTGTGAAAAGCGCGATTGTAAGCGCTCACTAGTTCCTGAAGCACATCTAAATATTTCAAGGTGTTAAAACCTGAAATATCTGAACATCCGCGTTTTAAGGGTTTTGTTAAATCGCTCCACCACAGAGGCTTTCAATTCGCTAGCCGTAGTAAAATGTCTTATTTTATATTTGTTTAAAAGTTTTTTAAATAAATGATTACAAAATTCTCGCCCCTTGTCACTTTGAAGAGTGACGGGTTTTCTACCTCGTAAAAGTATTTGTTCAAAGGCCTTCGTTACGCTCTTGGCGTTCTTATTTTCCAACGCCTCCACCCACGCGTATTTTGAAAACACATCTATGCAGGTTAAAATAAACTTTTTCCCATCGTTGTGTTCCAATAGAGAGGATAAATCTGCCAAGTCTAACTGCCATTGTGAATCTTTTTCGCACGCTAGTACGAAACTCCTTTTAAAGTTTATTCTTCGGGGTTTGTGTAGCGTGTAAGTGTCTGAACTTTGTAAAAACCTATCAATTTCATCTTTATTTTTATTAGCCAACCCCACCTCCCTTACGCTTTTGATAAAGGGCTCCCTACCACACAGACCGCCTTCCGACCCGGGTTTATGGTACAACTCTTGCAGCGCCGTCTGAGACATATCCAAATGGTCGAGGTGTGAAACACGTTAGGGTTTTTATATTTTCTTCTGGGTAAAACACGATCTAAAATAAAATGTGGAGAAAACAAACTGATGACAGAAATCGACTTCAAAAGGTTTTTATGTTTTTTTTTTGTTTATTTAAAGGTTTTTATGTGTTTTTTTTGTTATAAACGGTTTATTTCTTTTATAATTTTTTGGTTGTTAGTATCTAATCTACTGACAAACCGTTAGTTTGAGATATAGGTAAATTAGTTTCAAACTAAATGTGATGAACACTGAAGTATAAAATATGAAAATAAAAATGATTACACTATTAAATATATGAAAATGAAAAATGATTACACTTAAAATATGAAAAGAAAAATGGTTACATGATTTAAAATATAAAAAAAATTAAAATGATTACACTTAAAATATGAAAAGAAAAATGGTTACATGATTTAAAATATTTAAAAAATATTAAAATGATTACACTGTTAAAAATATTAAAATGATTACACTATTAAATATATGAAAATGAAAAATGGTTACATGATTTAAAATATTAAAAAATTAAAATGATTACATGATTAAAATATTAAATGAAAATGATTACATGGTTTAAAATATTAAAATGAAAAGACTATACAGTTTGTCTAATAAACATGCACAAAAGGGGTTCAAAAAATATGTAAACTACTAGCAGCGATCAAAAGATGTCATAAAGGTGCTATAAACAATTACACAAACTCAAACGACTAAAATATTAAATGAAAAACGTGGTGTTTTTTAATAAAACAAAAAGGTCCCAGTTTTTTCTAATAATAATAATGTTTATGGTTTGTCTAATAAAGAAAATATACAATGTATAAACTTACTAGCAGCAAAAAACATCGGTGTCATAAATGTCTTATGTACAAATACACAATCTCTCTCTCTCGCGAATCACTACACCGATCTGTCATCCTCAGACCCCATCAGAATTTTACACACGTCGGCGGCCGTTGATTCCGCAGCGCTGTTCAGAGGTTCATCCGGCCGCATGTAGAACCGGCTCAGAATTTCGGACGGATCTCTGCTCAGGTACTCGGACAGCGGGTTATATTCACTCAATTTTTCCTGCGTCAGCGTGTAAATTCTACGCAAAATGTTTATTACAAAACCATCATGAGGTTCTTTTAATTCAAAGTGTTGCTTTAGAGACTCTTTTATTTCCAATTCACAAGCGGGAATGAGATTCAGCCACTTCTGCTTTAACTCGTTGTCCAGAAATCTTACGGGGACGCCTTCCACGCAACTGTGCTGTCTCTGTGATGGGTGTTCAATTTGACACCCAGCGCAATCTCTCGTAACCCATTGACGAACAGCCAGGATGATCGCTCTTGCCCAGATAAATTCCACAATTTTCGTGGCTCGGTCCTTCAGACTGAGGTCCGAAGGCTTCTCGCTCTGACTTTCCGAGCTGGCGCCGGCGTCAAGAGGTTCCTCGCAGTGACCTTTTGACCCCGTTCCTGAGAAAGCGCTCGCGTTCTCTCTCTCACGCTGCTCGATGTCAGCCGGCGAAGAAGGTCGGCTTTGTAAGCCGTCCTCGTCCACCACGATAAATTCATCGCTGTCCAGATCGGTCACGCCGGAGACTTCCTCTTCCTCTTCTTCTACCTCGCTGGCGCTGGTCGAATCTGAAATGTCATTTTCGCCGCTTTTTTTACGTTCCACGAGGTCTAGATCAGAACTCTCTTCATCGTGCTCTGGCTGGTGAGTGGGGGAACACCCCCAATCTCTCCCGCTGGGCATGTCCTCGCACATGCGCATCGCTGTTTTGTCATCTTGGTATTTAGACATCAGACTCGTCGGGCGTGGAATATGACAGCTGTCGCAACCGCATATTACGCTGGCTGGTGATAGAGAGAGAAAATCGTTAAAAGGTTTAACGGGCTCGTACATGCTTACTCTTCGACCACACGCTGCAACTTGAAACGGTATAACCCTTTTCACGGCTTATATTCACAAACTACGGTACCTCAAATGGTCAAAATGAATTCTTAAGAAAAAAAGCGTTTTTCTTACCTGTCAGAACATGTTTGACCGCGTGATAAATATCCAGTAGTTCGCTCTCCCGCAAAGTTATTTCAATCAGCTGGACGTGCTCTTCTTTTTCAGTAGGGGCAAAATAAAAAATCCACTGGTCGTCATCGCTGGAGCACACGTTTTCATGCCTTATCACAGGTGACGTGCACACTTCCAATCGAACTCTGTAGGTAAACTCAGGGGTCTTGAGCCCTGTGATGGTCAGGGTGATTTGACGTAAATAATGCGCGGATCTGACCTTCAGTGTGATTGTGGTTGACCTGGACGGTTCGGTCTTGTGTTTTGTGTCGCGAACCATGCATAACCTGTTTCTGGCCTGTAAGATGCAATTCCCCCACTTCATTCGTTTTCGGGACGGTCTGGTTTAACAGGTACAACTCCTTTTCAGAAATGGAGACTTCAGTCGGCTTGTCACTGTGAAACAGCCTACTCTGACGGAAAACGATGTAGCGATTGTTCAGCCGGGTTTCTTTCGGCAAAATTGTCCAATACGTCATCGAAAGACTTCTCCTCTTTATGCTCGGTTTAAACAGACTGTCGTCCGCTCTGAATCTGTCGATTTCCTGCTTTTTCTTCTGCGAAGGTGTAACATCGTTTTCTTCCCGAATCGAACGGGGCCAGCAGTGTTTAGGTATGTCGTTGCGAACGAAGGCCTTCCTCGCGCTCAAAATTTGACTGGTCCTCAGGGGCTGCTCCTTCAGTTTCAGTCGTTTTAGGCTGTTTGGCCACACGAAATAAGGTATTCCACGCTTTTGTAAGTTGTCCCGAATGAATGTGCGATAGCGCCATTTGCTCAAGGAATTCAAGATCGGAGATCCGGCTTGAGCCTTAGACGATCTGTCTGGAGAATCCATGACGATGGTTTTGCAGAAAAGTCACTCTCCGCACCAATCTGTCTCTTTTACGGCCAGTTTTTATAGTATTGTGAGGAGAAAAACACCACGACACCTGTTCAATTATTAGTCACGCTTAGCAGAACGGGGGCCCCCCACTTGCTACTGTCACTCAAAAACACAACAACAACAACTACGTCATACCATTACATCCTGGGAATCTTTTTTTTCCAAAACACATCTTTTTTCCAAAACACATCCTGGGAATCTTTTGAAAATTATTCCCACGCATCATACCGGGCAAACCTCGGGTAGTTATCAAAAAGCATTCACACACACACACACACACACACACACACACACCATACCCCGACCCAACCACCCCACCCCACCCCACCCCACCGACGGTAAGTCCTCGCATCTTTTTTTTTTCATCCTTACTCTTAATTTTTCACACCCCTTTAAACTTTTACATAAAATTCACATCATTTTTTTCATTAACACTTCTCAAGAGGGGAAAATTTGCTCACGCTTGCCACCCCTCCCAACACACACCCTGGGGAAAATTGAACATTTTATCACCGGAAAAAAAAATTCTTTTACAACCTACAATAGTTGTTCACAGTTTTTACACACATCACCTCCTGGGAAAATTAGTTGCAATTTTCACACATGACGTCATATAACTGATGTTTACATTTTACACACACCAACCCCTGGGAAATTTTTTTACATATTTCACATGTGATGTCATACCACTGATGTTTACATTTTTATACACATCAACCCCCTGGGAAAATACTTTACATATTTCACATGTGACGTCATGCATAACTCATAAATCAGACAATTTGACATTTACCGGGGTTAATAACTACTTTAAACATATCAACTAGATTTAAGATATTTTCACTTACTAAAACAGACTTTTTGTTTGCAGTAAGTTCAGAAAGTACTTTAATACACTAACAGGTCTTCAATTCTGTTGAGAAATGTGTCTCAGCGACTTTATGTCTAGACCCTGAAAATTAAAATGATTTTATGTACATATGTGTTGTGTTCAAGTTTGGTGTTTAAGTCTGAATTACCACATCTGGCTCTGTAGTATGTGTGATGTTTTAGGACTGGGGCTGAAACCCTGTTCTAGCTGTACAGTCTGTTAGAATGTTGTTAAAGAGTCAGACAGCAAACTGAATTTATACCAGTAGTATTAGAACTCAGTACAAGTTAAATTGATTGAGTTATGTGATGACGTCACGCATGAAATATGTAAAGAATTTTTCCAAAAATATAAAGAAATTTCCCATGACGTCACGTGGGACATGTGTAAAAGAATTTCCCAGGAGATGGTCATGGTAAACGTGTGAGCAAATTTTCAAGTTGTAGTGGTTGAAACCTTCCCTCTGAAATGGGACCTTAAATAAAAAGAGCATCACTTCATTAACAGCTACCAGCGCTGCTCTGTAGGCGACCCTGCCAGTCTGCAGTGACAGCAGAGGAGGGTAAAGTTCAGCTCCTCACTGCTGGGCTTTAGTTACATTTAGGGATCATATGCCTTCAAAGAGGGGGGCAATTATTTATTATCACCACCCCTAATTCTTCAGTGATATGAAGCTGAAGTCAGATATTCACCAGATTCTTGTTTGAATTTTCCCGTTCCACTGCTGGTGCAGCAGTTACACTCTGGCGCTTCAGGCGTCAGAACTGCTGGACTATTTAAGGTGGAATGGAAAATTTAGGTATACTATTATAGAATTTCTATGCTTGTTATGAAGAAAATGACCATAATACACTGAAACAACATTAAACTAAGATAATATGATGGTCATTGTAATTTTTAACAGAGAAAATTCTCACATTTGTGGGTTTCTTTGGTCTCTCGTTCTCCATCTTAGCGTTTTTTTTTTCTCATAACTCTCTGGTTGGAGTCTCTGAAAAACCTCCGTTTGGAGGGTCATGTAGCCCCAACACTTCACCCTACCCCTCTATCTCAACAAGAATCAGGACACCCTACCCCTAGACGAGAACTCTCATAGCAGAGGGCTGAGAGCTAAGTGGTAGTCATCAGTAGGAGTGTGTGTTGTGCTGTCAGATGACAAGAACACCTTTGAGTCACCTTTGCAAAGAGAATGTGTCATTATTTCAGATGAGGATGCCACAATTTTATCGTCATAACAAAGACCCAGCGTTGTTGTATGCAACTCATCAAAAGTTGATGTATACAGAGGTGACTGCGATGGGGGGAGGTTGGTCTCGCATTATAGTCCAATCTCTGACTGTGAAGAGCGCATTGATCCAGTATGATTTTAGAGGACCTATGACATCTGCCTTATTCAATGAGGATATTCTTTCTTTGTTTGATCACAGGATACAGAGCATTGGCTTTGAAGATGTTGTGAGAGGTGGCGAGGAGAACTTTTCATCTCTTTGCATGGAGGATTTCACCCATTTCACCCCAGTGTCATCCAATCTGTTGAATGGGAGGATGTTTTTGTTAAGGCTGTCAGGTCTGCGACTTTGGATGGAGTTTCTTTGAGTGAAACAGATTTACGGGACACTCAGGAAAGACATGACTCCACACTTAAACTATGGATTATTCAGACAGCAACTCCTCCACGAGGCACGAGGGGTATTGGGGGTGTATTGAACGAGAGACACAGTGAATACAATTTTCAAAATAAATGTTTTTGGATCAAGTTACCAGTTTGAATTTCACACAGGCTATGCACTGGGAAGTAGACTGTTTGTTGTAAAAGCCAGACAGGTTTCACAGCGCCCAGATGATAAAGTACAATTAAGTATGCAGGATTTATTTAAACCAGTAATATGGCAAACAAACAGTGGGTCAGCTAAATGCCGAACATTTTCTGGATTCTATGAAATCTTTAGTAGAGCTTAATGAAAATATAATGTCCCAGCCTTGTGCTAGGCCACCTCTAGCCACTAGGGGGAGACAAGGCAGCACTAAGGGGTAATTATGGCTGAGCTGTAACAGCTGTGGGCACCCTACTTAAGGGGTGCTCACACGCCGCTTTCTGCTCAGTCTTGAGTTTATGCCGCCATGTGCAGGTGTCTCTGCTGAGCTGGTAACGGTATTCTTTTGGTCTTGAGTTCTTTGTTACAATCTGGGTTCTCTCCCAGTGCCCTTCCTTGTGTACGTATTAAGAAAAAAAAAAAACAACTTTGAGTGTCCTTTTCAGATTACTTTCCTCCTTGCTTTTCAGGAACTCTTTCCTTTGAAGACACTGATTTGGCATTTCTTTTGTTTGGCTTTAGCTCCTCCTTTGTGTTTATTGATTTTGCTGCAGTAGCTCAGTGTTGGCACACTCACCCCTCATCGTGTCTCACTCAGTGTAACCTCGCTTTTCTCTTTCTTTTTCCTCCATTCTGGAAGCTCCACTGCACTGTACCTGTGCCCATCTCTGCGCCTGGTTGGTGACCTGTCCCATAGGTTTCTAACTAGGGGATTTCTGGTTGAATCCTCATGCGGGATAAGTCGTGTTACAGAAAAGTTCGCTCACACTGAACATTCAAATAGTGAAGAACTTTGGAGATGGAATAGATAATTTGTGAATGATAAGCAGTATTGTGTCATTAGAAATTCTTACAAAAAAGATTGAGCATTTCATTATATTTTGAAATGCTTACAAAAATTCCTGCTCAACATGTAGTTTGGTGGAAGTGATGAAACCAGATTTGAACAGTAGTGAATACCAAAATGAACCTTCAAGACTTTTAAATGATTTTTTTTTCACCGGAACGTTTAGTGTTATTTAACAACATGGCTTTATTCAAATTTTTAAACTTCAAAATTGTGTTTCTTTACAGAGTAAACAACAGAAGTCCATTTGAGTTTACAAACCCACTAATATTACTTTGTAATATTGTACATAATATCTTCTATTATTAAATGACTTATTACATATTTTAAATGTAAAAGATTCTTAGCCTTTAAAATGTCTGCAACACATCGTACACACACAGTAAGTACTCCCACCGCTGTCATTTTATGTGAATGTCTTTCAGAGTTTGTTCAAAAACAGAAAATGTTTTACGCTGCTCTGATTGTCTTTAGATTTTGTAGATCTGAGGAATGTTTTTAACATCATAAACTAAAGCATTACTGTGACAAAGTTAAATACTATCAACACTGTCACTGATCTTATAGGTAACAGACAAACATCACAGATGCTTACAGAGCGTTTGTAACATTTGTAGCCAAGAAAGAGGCATCCTGCATGATTTATTAGACCTACTTTATCTCATCTGCAAACACAGAAATATGTATTTTTTCACATCAAGTCCCGTTTTACCAAACAAAATGAACACGTTCACATTCATATCCATACTACTACATATAACTGTCCCTAATGGAGCGCTCCAGGTCAACACTGCATTGCAAAGCTTTTTAAATGTTTTAGGAAAAAAAAAACGTTTATTGCTCACAATAGCCTCAGTTATGACTCATATTTTTTTGCTCAATTTTCTAGCAAAGAACAAAATTGTACTGCAACTCATTACACAAGATAAAATTGTGTATGATACTCATTTCAAGCAATGCTACATTGACAGCATGAGTTTCTTTTAAATTAAACTAGCTGATTTTATTCTAGTGCTGTTTGCTATCCGGTGTGGTCCAGAGGAGGATGGGTTCCCCTTTTGAGTCTCGGTTCCCCTCAAGGTTTCTTCCTCTTAGAGAGTTTTTCCTTGCCACTGTCTCCATTGGTGACGCTCATGAGGGGACTCGGACCCGGATTTTTCTGTAAAGCTCCTTTGTGACGGCACCTGTTATAAAAAGCACCATATAAATA